ACCATCGTGTTATAAGTGAACGCCTTTTATGCTGGATTATGCCCTCTCCGGTGAGACTGCACTCCGGTTTTCAGCCACTGGGAGCCAACAATTTGCTATCGGGAAGGAAGACGTTTCATAGGAACAGCAGAGTGTGCTGGGAAAACAGTGCCCTACAAAATGGAATCATACCCCTTTTGGCCACTGGATGGCGACATTGCATTCATGGGGAGAGACAACTTCCTAAAATGGGCCGCTTCCACTGAACAAACCCATAGAACTGCAGTACCCTTATTTGGCCACTGAGTGGCAACACTGGAGTCGCAGGGCATCTTCCATGTGCATGTCGCAACGATCCCCCTGGTGTGTGGGGCTCTGGGGGGGGGGAACAATAGCCAATAACTCGGGGGAGGGTGCATGCCATAAAACTCTGCGCCCATCCCCCACCCCACCCCCCACACATCCCAGTATGCCCAGCTACCAATCTGTATAGTATTTCTACAGGCAATAAATTTAACAGGGTGAGGGTGGGAGGGGAAGCCGATGCGAAACTGGACTTGGGAGGGACATCGTCTCAATGCTGGTGGGGGTGGGGGGGTGAGGGTGAGGGGTCAGGGAAGCCTCCAGGGAGACCACAGAAACTCCGGAGGAGGGAGACTGGGAAGAGACCTTTTCTCCTCTTGTATTGCCTCCTGTGGCTACCAGAAACAGAACCTGGGGGGGTCCCTGGTACGCAGCCCCCTTCACACTACACGCCCCCCCTTCCGTTGTGAGACTCATGCGTAGACCACACCCTAGCGCTGCGTTCCAGCCCCATCTCTTGCCTCTGCTAGGAATCCTGGCCTCCTCCAGCAGGGATGAACGGGCCATTGAACTCGGAGGGGATTCCCCAGTCGGCTGGGAGCCAGCAGAGGCAGCAGCTGTGAGCCATGGTAACCGGGTGGGGTCAGCTGACCCATTGACACACACCCCACCCGCATGGCTGCCAGTTTGCGGGAGGAAGCCATGGGTGGGCCCTCTGCACTTGGCTTCCCCAAGGGCCATTTCCCGGGTGCGCTCTGGCCTCCAGCAAGCCCAAGGCCCACCTCTGGAGAGCCCACGCATCCTGGCTGCCATCTTTCCCCGTCTCCTTGTGCACACGTGCCCCCCACCCGCATCACCCCTAGGCTCCACCCCAAAGAAACCTCGGGAGTCCTAGTTCAGGGTTCCGCAACGTGGTGCCCACAGGTGCCTGCCACTGACTTCCCTTCGCGCCTGCCGAGCTTTTCAGAAAGCGGGTGGGACGGGCCTTGTTATTGGCTTTCCTTATTCAAATGAACGGGTTTTCCGGCAGCGGGTGAGGAGGAGGGCTGGTGAGCACATGGGCTTTCCTTCGTCATCGTGTGGTTCCATTCTCCCCTTCAGGATTTCCTTCTTCCGAGGAGGCGTGAGGAGGGAAACACTGTTTGGCTCCACCTCCAGAGGCAGCCATTTTGGGGTGATGCTCGCCACCACCCCCAAGGTGTTTGTGGCTTCAAAAAGGCTGGGGACCCCTGCCCCAGTTAGCACCCTCCTTCTCCCGGAGGGCGCAGCAAGGAGAAGCAGAAAGCTACACCCGGCCACCCTGAAATCGCTCTCCTTCGGCCTGGGCGCCAGATTACCTCATTTACTGAGCCGGGTCCAGATGGAAAGAGCCTGCGCTGAGCAGGGAAGGAAGGGAGAGGCCGGCCACCGAGTGGGCCATCGTGGGCACGGTCTACCTATCTCAGCCTCCTCTTGGCAAGATGGCGCCGGCAAGGGCCAGAGCTGACCCCTGGGGCAACAGTGCCACCCCCTCCTTCCGTTCAAAGTCCAGCAAATCACCCCGTTTTCCCTTGTCCAATGGTCACAGGGTTCACGTGAACTCAGGAATTCTACGAGGTCTCTGCTGAGGTGAAGCAACAGTGTCAGTCGGGTTGGGAAATTCCTGGAGATTTGGGGGTGGGGTTTGGGGAGGGGAGGGGCCTCAGCAAGGTGCAGTGCAAGAGTCCACTCTGCAAAGAAGCCATTTCCTCCAAAGGAGCTGTTCTCTTGTCATCTGAAGATCAGTTGTTGTAACTCCAACAGATATCCAGGCCCCACCTGGCGGTTGGCAACCCTAGCACTGTTGGGGCAGGTTTTGTTGTTGTTTTTGCAAGGTGCAACCTGGGGTCCCAACGTGCATGGAACAGGCCAGCCAACGGGGGGGGATGCAGGGGTGCGACCGGCTCCCTCTCTGGAAGATGCACACACTCACCACCCTGCCTGCCCTCTGCAAAGTGGCAAACGTCGGCATTTGAACTGCGGTGGCGTGACCCTTCCTTGGCTCAGGAATGACCTCCCGGTCCTGATCGTTTCCGAGGAGGACCTCCTGAGCCAGGAACTGCCCCAGTCACCCGTTTTGGTCAATGAAGTCACGGGACCCCGTTCTGATTCTGGGGCGTGCCACAATTAACATGTTACAGCCATGTGAGCCCACGTTACTGGCATGCATCGCCACTCCGCTAGCCCAATCCTGGATGCCAAAACTCAGGTGTGGAAGCTGGAGAAGCTGGGAGAGTGGTTTTCAAAAGTATGCTTGAAGCTGAGCCACAATCGTTCAAGTTGGTGAACTCAAACCGAGGTAAACAGCGGTGTGGTTGGGCACTGCCTGTCTCTGTGCAGAAGCCCTGGGCTTCCTGGCTAGTCTCTCCTCCAAGTCCTCACCAGGACCAGCCCTCCTTCGCTTCCAGATCGGGGTGCAGCTAAACTGGTGAAAAGGGCAGTCAGGTTGCAGCCGACTCGCGCCGACCCCTCAAGGGGTTTTCAAGGCAAGAAGTCTTCAGAGGTGGTTTGCCACGGCCTGCCTCTTCGTAGCTGCTCCGGAACTTCCTTGGTGGGCTCCCATCCAAGTATGAACCAGGGCGGGGCTTCGCTCCCGATATCTGACACAATCAGGCCGGCCTGAGCCGTTCAAGTCAGGGTAGGATTCGAATCGGGTCCTTCCAAACACTGTTCTGGCCAGATTTTGACAACGGGTGATGTTCCGGTGGAAAGGGTTTTTAATCCTGAAACTTCATCACCGTTGGCAACAGAGCCCCGGGCATCTCCTGTCTCGGGACACCACAAATGTGGACCACAAACAAAGGATCCGTCGCCTTCCCCATCTGAATCTGAACTAATTACTTGAACCCCACCCTCAAGGTTTATCCGTGGCATCTCTGGTATTTACTAGCCCAATCTTGACCCCCGTGAACTCTGCCGGCATAGGGCAGGGTGTGTGTGTGTGTGTGCCTATTCCAATTGCACGAAAGCAGCTGGTGGGAAAGGTGGGCTCAAAAGCTAACCTCGTCTCCCCCTTTTTATGTACTTACAAAAGGCTGTGTATTCTCTCTTACTCTGTATATCTCCCTCCTCGATGCCTCAGCCCAGGATCTCTTGAGAGGGGGGGGCACATCAGCTCTGGCCCACGCCTCTCTCCCCTTCTTGGCATTTCCACCTCCTGTGCCCGGTCCCCACAGTCTCCAACTTGCCTCGTGCCCTCGCCCACCCAATCCCTCCTTCACCTCTCCATTTCCTACCGCCTCCCCGTCTTTTCTAGAGGACTCCCGGTGCAAAGCGGTAATACTTGAAACCTTCAAGGCGTTCATTCACTTAAAATACAAACCAAGTACCCAGAATAAAATTCTGTTGGCCTTCAAGGTGCCCGACTGGACTCAAACTTTGTTCTGTCGCTTCAGAGCAACACGGCTGCCCCCACCTGAGTCTAGATTCAGGGCTATTTCTGGGCAGGAACGCACAGGAACGGAGTTCCGGCTGGCTCCCGAGTTGGCCACGCCCAGCAAGAACTCATTAGCATAATAGGCCACACCCAACAGCAGACACTCATTAGGATTGGCTACATTAGGGGTGTGTGGCCTAACATGCAAAGGAGTTCCTGCTACAAAAAAGCCCTGGATTTTGACAACAAACAAGGTCAACAGAATAAGAAGCAAAAGGTGGGTGTGGCTGGATGACCACACTTCTGATAGCATGGGGGTGCGGCCTAATGTGCTAATTAGCTGTGCAGTCAGGGGTGTGGCCCAATATGCTAATGAGCTCCTGTTGGGTGTGGCCTATTATGCTAATGAGTTCCTGCTGGGCTTTTTCTACAAAAAGAGCCCTCATTTGAAATGATTTGGATCTGCCCCTGCCTCTGTATTGCAGCGCATTTGAAATCCATACCCCTCGGAGATGTTGTTTTAAATCTGGCATTTCAGAGGGATTTATTTCCAAAATATAGTTTAGAAGTGCAGGATTTCATGTTTGTTTGTTCTAGTTTCAGAACAGCCGTTTACGTGATTTTGCAAATCCCAAGAGTGGAACTTCAAGCAGGAAAATGTTTTTAAAAATTCAGTCTGCTATCAGACCCAACTCTGCAACGATTCGGATCCCCCCCCCCCTTTGAGAGCTTCGGACTCTTGCACAGAAACGTTGCCTTGCAGGATCGGGGAAAGGTCTGTTTCGGATGGACTACCTTCCAGGGCTGGTGTCCTCTAACACCCATCCCCCTCCTCTGCCTTCTCCCCTTTACCAGCACAGAGAGCAATAATCCCTGGAGTCTCTCCGCCTTTGACTCCCTGCATGAGAAAAAATGGAGCACTCTCAGCAATAACAAACCCCCTTCCTGAACCTGAGGCAAAGAGTCCTGTGTCAGGCCCCTCAGACCCACCCACCCCCCCCCCCCCCCCCCCCCGTCCCGACCCCCCGTCCTGCATTCTGGAAATAAACAGAACATTTCTATTATTCTACATGGCTTGTCTTGGTGGTTATCTACAGGGTGAATGGGTGGGCAAGGGGGCTCCAGATCCAGGAATCCACTTCCAGGATTTAGGCTCTTCTACTCCATTCCGAAATGACCCAGTCCAGGTCTTCCCTGTAGCCCTTGAGCAAATAGGAGGCTGTTTGTATGGCGGGGCTGTGGTTCCCGCACACCATTTCCCCGATTTCTGAGTCCACTGACCTGACAGGACGGGTCCTTCCCTGTCCCTGGATGACAGACCCTGTCCTCCTCCCTCCCTCCCTCCCTCTCAGGCAAGATTTTCCCTCCCGTTTTTTCTTTTGCATCCCTTCACAGACTCAGCAGCCCTGGTGGGGTGTCTCCTCTTTCGAGTCACCTTCGCCAGGGATACATCAGGGCTGTTTTCTCCGCCCAGGGCCTGAGGGTAAGGTCAGGGTCTCCCTTTCTCTTAAAGGACAGCTAATGGCACTCGAGATGCTTCTAAAATTCAAACATAAGGGTTTTATTTTACATCAAGGGGGAAAGGTCAGGTGAAGTCAGGGGTTGAAAATACAGAGGCAAAACAGTAGAAGCCCAAATTCTTATTCTTGTATTTCAGGCTAATGAGAGTTTCTTGAACTCTTCACTGTTACGATGGTTCGCTGCTTTGGTTCCTGGGTTTTCCCCTAAACCATTTCACTTTATTTGTAGAACAGCAGACTCTGTCGGTGCCCAGAAGCCTGGTTCCATCTTCCCAGCACCCAAACCCCTTCTCTTGGAACACCAGAAATCTTCTAGAGACTGTTCACTGTCTTTGAAAGTCTCCACAAGCACTTTCCCATCACACCAGACCAGGGAATCTCTGCTCCTCAGGGATCACTTTCCCTGTTTGACTGGGGAGGGATCCTTCTTCTCTCCCTAGAAGATTTACTCCCTTTTACTTTTGGCCCAAATGGAAGACTTCTTGTGCTACCCAAAACCTCCTGGCCATACTTTCCCCCGTTCGCTGTCTGTGTTCAAAACTGCCCTCAGCTAATGCTGAGTTAAGACTGTGTTCAGTCACGGGGGAACTCTGACTTTGTCAGCACTAAGCCCTTTTCCTGTCAGGGCTAGCCTAAGATGGTTTCCTCGCACACACACATGTCTTGTCATGGTCAAGGCAGGAACCTGAACCCCTTCTGAGCATACAGCTCTCACCAGACTTTCTTTTGCTCAGCTGATGCCGACCAATCAGTTTGCCCGGAGCAGCCTGTCACTCAAGGCTCTCCTGCAGTTTTATCTGCAGCACTTTTAAGCCTCTTCAACAAGTGCAGACAGGGGAAGGGCCTGAATCCCTACAGTACTGGGGATCTCCAGAAAGGAGTGCCCCCCATGGCTCCCCAAGTGTGGGAGAGGTTGGGCCTGGATGGAATTTATTGGTTTACTTCATTTCCATGTTACTTTTCTCCCCAAAGCAGCTTACATCATTCTCCTCCACTTTATGCTCACAACAACCCTGTGAGGTAGGTTAGGGTGAGGGTGCGTGACTGGTCCAAGGTCACCCAGCAAGCTTCTCGTGGCAGGGTGGGGATTCGAACCTGCCTCTCCTGGGACCTAGTCCAGCACTCTGGCTGCTACACCACGCTGGTTCTTGTCTCCACAGTCACTGCAGGTCCCAGCTGAGCTACTTTCCCCCATAGATGACAAAGGCCTTTTACTTCGGCCACAAACGGCTCCACTTCCAGACTCTCACTATGTCCCACGGGTGGGGCATCGGTTGCTCCAACGGCTCCGTTCCTGACCCCAGCTGGAATCTGGCTCCAGGGCCTTCCCGCCTCCCCGAGCTGCTCCTGCTGAGTCGGAGGGTTACAGGGACCCAATCCAGCTCCACGCTCTCTGCCCCCAGGAGCCAGAAATGCTGCCTTGGCTGGGTGGTGCAGCCGCCCAAGTGGGCAGTGCTCCCTTTCTGTGGGAGATCTGCAGCCAGAGGGCCGAAGAGAACAGGTGGCCGGGCCGGAAACTCTTCAGCAGCTGCGAAATGCCTTTGGTAACTCTAGATGGTCTCCTCTGACCAATCCCCTTCCCGTGGCCCTGGCTGGGCGGCGGCTAACACCAATGGGAAGGGCTCCCTAGTCCCAGGGAAAGGGGTGGCCGCCCAGCTGTCTGTCTGCCTGTCCAGCAGCCGACCGAGGACATGGCCCCCAGGGCGACGCTTTGGGGGCTCCTGTGGGTTCTCTCCATGGGAGGTAAGCGTTTCATTCATGTCGTCTGCCTGCTTCTGCCAAGGGCACCCAGAGGTGGGGGTGGGGGGCAATGCTCCCTGTAAGCTGTGGGGTCGTGTGAGCAAAAATCCTACTCGGTGAGCTCCTGGCAGTAATGTTGTGAGCCAGCGATTGGGCTCCTGCATAGGGAACACTGCTCTGGAACCCTCCTTCCTGAGCTAAGACAAAAATGTGTGAGCCGGAGGCTAAAAAACTGTGAGCTATCTCACACTAACTCAGCTTAGAGGGAACACTGCTCTGGAGCCCTCCTTCTTGAGCTAAGACAAAAATATGTGAGCTGGAGGCTAAAAAACTGCGAGCTGGCTCACACTAACTCAGCTTAGAGGGAACACTGGTGGGGAGCTGTGCAACGTGTGTGTGGGGGGGGCAATGACGACAATCATTCCAAAACCATTTGTGCAGCCAGGGTTTCAGAAGTGTGCCAGACCCTGTGACCTTTCTGTCATGTATTGATTTGTACAGCATGCAAGTGACGTTTTGCCTCTTTCAAAGAGCTTTTATAGAACATTTGACCAGAAATGTGTTGCTCTCTGGGGGTCACAGGGCTTAAAAGTGCCCCCCCCCGTTAGGGAGGCCAGCAGATGGGTGGGTGCCCTCCGACACACTAGAAGGCTCTCTCTTGCATTCTCTCTCTAGCCGTGACGGCTTCCGAAACAGAGGGGCTGCTGCTGAAGGCGCTCTCCCAGAACTACAGCACGACTGTGCGCCCGGCCCGCAGCATCAGCGACAGGGTTCCCGTCCGGATCGGGATGTCCCTCTCGCAGCTCATCAGTGTGGTGAGTTCTGCTTTGGAGCAAGTGCCTTGAGGATGTGGATCAAGAAGTCAGAACCTAGCATGGCCGGTAGATGGCGGCACGGCTTCCCTTCCCCTCAGCAGGCATTCCACAGGGCAACTGCAGGGGGCGACATCGAGGAAATGCTCTCCAAAACAGGGTTCGACTCAGCGGCATAAGGAATTCGGGGGTGGGGTGAGGACTGGGACCCTTCCACATGGGGTGGGTGCAGCAGCTCTAGACTTTGGGTTAGACGGAGAAGTAGTTAAGAGGCGGTGGCAGCAAAGACAACAGTTGGAGTTTGCCGCCAGCTATTGATAACTGGAGCTGCGGTGGCTCAAGTGCTTAAGACGCTGAACTGCAGGCTGTGGAAGGTCAGTAGTTCAGCAATTCGAGACCCGGGTGCCGCATGACGGAGTGAGCTCTCATCTCTAGTTCCAGCTCCTGCCAACCTAGCAGTTCAAAAGCAAGAAATTGCAAGTAGATAAATAGGTACCACTTTGGTGGGAAGGGAACAGCGTTCCGTGCACCTTGGTGTTTAGTCATGCCGGCCACATGACCAGGGAAACGTCTTCGGACAGCGCTGGCTCTTTGGCTTTGAAACGGAGATGAGCACCGCAACCCTAGAGTCGGATTCGACTGGCTTTCGAGCAAGGGAACCTTTACCTTTACCTTTATTGATAACTGAGCGATCTGGGGGATGGTCACAAAGGCAAAAGGCTTCTTGTTTACGTCCTTCTCTGTAGAAGACCCCCCCACACACACACACACCCCATCTCAAACTGCAGGCATTTCCCCCCTTCCATTTCCAGTTCTGGCCAATTCAGAATATTGTAGAAGCCAAAAATGAGAGATCACGGGAGGAAGCGGAATTCCAAAAACAACATCCGTGACAAAAATAACGAAGAGTCAAATAAAGATAACTTGCAAAAACATTTACTGTAGTAATTCTGTAGCAACCCCAATTCTTATCAATTACTTCTTATCAACTCTTGAAGGAAGAGTTGTGAAGACCTTGGGTTCTGTTATTAGAGAGTCAACATGGAATGTTTCCTTCAAGAGTTAATAAGACAAGAATTGACAAGAATTGGGATTGCTACATGCTCAGATAAAGCAAATATTGTGAAACGAATTGTTTTCATTGTGCAGTATTCGTTAGCATGTGAGCGATAAATAATAATAATAGAAGAAAAAATTATTCTAAATAATAGAAGGCAATTTTCTACAGAATTACTACAGTAAACATTTTTGCAACTTATCTTTATTGACTCTTAGTTATTTTGTCACGGATGTTGTTTTTGGAATTCCAGTTCAGAATATTGTCTGTCCCCAAGAACCATTTTTTCCTACCTGCTAGTGTGCCAAGGGCTGTAGGAGATGCCTGAAGTTATAACGCACACCTGCAGGACCATCACCCTGAGCTCTCTTTGGGAATTTTTTTTTTTTTTTTTTGCAGGATGAAAAAAACGAACAGTTGACAACAAAGGTCTACATGGATCTGGTGGGTAAAAATCACAACCTATGTCCCCCTGGCTGCATCTCACAAACACATAAGTTGCCTTCCAGACATTCGCCATGTGGGAGAGGCGAATTTGAATCTGGTCTGGTTCCGAGATAGCTTGTCAGCCGCGAGAAGGATTCACATCCTTCCAAAAACAGAAAGAGAAGGGACTGAGAACTTCCTCAGGGGATGAAGCGCCTTCAGAAGGTCACTTCACACCAATCAGGTGCCCTAGACCTGCCCTGAGCTGCCTTTTCTCCTTGACCGGGTGGGGTATGCGAAGGGGGGGGGAATGATTTAATTCCTCCTCTCCGGCCCCTCCAGGGATTGTTTGAGTGGTTGTGGTGGGGCTGTATCTTAATCAATCCGAATTGCTGGATTTTCTAATAATATTCTCTTTGGGGTCACCAATTTCCAGGGAGTCCTGAAAGGCCTTAGGCCATGATTTGTGGAGCTTGAGGGGCAACAAGACAAATTAAATTATCTTTAAAACAAAACAAAAACACAAACATACATTTCTGGGCCTCATTGGGTTTTGCTAAAACTATTCTGGGCAGTTTCAGTTAAAGACCTGGAAAAACCGAAATATTTGAATGGAGTTAATAGAACAAAAACTGATTTTGTTTGATGGGGAAATAGATGACTGGAGACCGATGCCCCTTCTAAGCTGTGGAGTCTTGTGAGCAAAAATCCTGCTTTGCGAGGTACTGGCATTAAAGTTGTTAGCAGCGAGCGATTTGGCTACTGCATAAATCAGTTTGCTCTGGAGCCCCATCCTTCTTTCTGAGCTAAGATGAAAATGTGTGAGCTGGAGGCTAAAAAACTGCGAGCTAGCTCACACTCACTCAGCTTAGTTGGAACACTGACACGGGTTTGAATTCTGCCTCTCCTTTGGGGTGCTAAGATAGAAGGCGCTATCTTGCTACAACCCTTCTCGAGTGTGTGAAACAGGAACAAGAGCAACTATCTTGTCAGGGTGGCCATGAGGGGAGATAAGAGGAAAGACGTGTTGTGGGCTGCAGGCCCTGTCATGGCCTGAGTATCTGATACGAACTCTCCTGACATTCACACCCCTCTCCTGGTCTGTCTCTCATGGCCTCATCCCCGTGACTCCCCTGGCTCAAACCACCATCTATTTCTTTCCTGGATTTCCAGACATGGACAGACTACCGCCTCACCTGGGATCCCGCGGATTACGAGGGCATCACCTCCGTCAGGATTTTTTCTAACAAAGTCTGGCTCCCAGATATAGTCCTCATGAACAAGTGAGTATTGTGAAGGTTGGGAGCTGCGGCATGCTGTGGAAACACAGCTACTTTTCTGGGCTGGGGGGCAAGGGGGGGGTCCCATTTCCAAAAGGGATCCCTTATTAGTTGCTGAAGCAGCCCCGTAGCCAGAAATTTTGGGTGGGTGGGGCATCGGGAACATTTGTGGGGCAACAGGGGAGGGGTTCCCTCCTTCCCTGAACTCCAAGTGGCGATTTCATTGCTTGGAGTTCAGGTGCAGGTAGGCCCCGCTTGAAAAACGCCATTGTGGGGCATGCCTCACCTTTGAGGGGGCATAGCCCCCAAACGCCCCACCGTAGCTACGGGCCTGTGCTGAAGTCTCTGGGCCTGGGATGGTGTAGCAACCTCACTTTCATTTGTATTTATTTATTTATTTATTTATATCTCTATCCCGCCCTTCCCACATGCAGGCTCAGGGCAAGTTACAACATATAAAGTTCACCTTACAAACAGATAAAAATCTAAAATACATATAGGTAATAAATACAACATTAAAATACTATATTAAACATATTACACAGTTCGGGCTACAAATTCACCAGTCTCCAATTCGGAATGTTCCACTTCATTACGAATCGAGAGCCGTTGGCCGAATGTGGTTTGTCTCCAGCTAGGAATGTTCAACATAATTCTGCACGGGAGGTTAACAGCCTTCTCTGCCCCCACTCCTCCCATCCAGTAACGACGGCGTTTTTGACATTTCTCTGATGGTGAACGTCTTGGTGAACCACGAGGGGGTCGTCCGGTGGCAGCCGCCCGCTGTTTACCGGAGCAGCTGCAGCATCCAGGTGGGCGTCTTGGCATGACCAGCACTTGTCCGCCAGTCATCCTTGTGGCCGTACCCCTCCCCTCCTCCTGTGCCACCTTTCGCCATGCCATGAGGCCTTGGCTCAGGCATTGCCGGCAGTGGTATAAATCCAAGATGGCAAAGCCTGCCCCCCTCCCATGACACCAGGAGCAAGCTGAGCCCCTGTGGCGCATGGCACCTTCCGAGTGGCACTACCCAATGACGATACGCATGAGAGCAAGATGCGGTTTGTGGGATGCTTGTTCCAACTCTCAAAGGGCAACAGAAACATTGCTTCAGAGGGCAGCCGCGTCGGTCCGCCGTTGAAGAGCTCGATTCGAGGCCAGAGCCCGACAGGGTTTCTAGAGTATAAGCCTTCTAGAGTTCTTATTAATAATTACCCAGGGTTCCTTTCTTTGGCCCTTCGTTGAACTATTCCTCTGCAGAAGGTGCCCGAAGGATATTGTGAATTGGCAAAGAAGGCATTCCCGCTGTAGCGTGGGGAGGGTGTGGGGGACGGGCTGCCTTCCCTCTGACCCCTTTCTGTCTGGGGGTGGGGCAGGTCACCTACTTCCCCTTCGACTGGCAGAACTGCACCATGACCTTCCGCTCATATACCTATGACGCCTCAGAGGTCACCCTCCTGCACCCTCTGAAGGAGAACGGGGAAGAGCTGAAGGAGATCATCATCTACAAGAATATCTTTATCGGTGAGCCATAGCTGGGGGGGTGGGGGTTTGAGGCACGTGATGCCAGTCGGCAGGGGTCATTTCGTAGAAAAAGAGGTGCAGGAGCTCACTAGCATAACTTATTTGCATATGCCACACCCCCTGACATCACCAGAAGTGTGTCAGAAGGCAACACCCACCGCTCAGGCTCCACTGGACTGTTTTGGATTGCTAGCTATTGGGGGGGAGCGCAGATCTGTCCTCACAGAGGAGGGAGAGCTTGTACCTGAATAAAACTTGGTCTTAAAGGTGCCACTGGACTGTTTTGGATTGCTAGCTTGGGGGGGGGGGCGACACCCAAAATTTTGCAGGCAAG